TTGGCCCCATTTCTGCTCGGGAACCTTTTATGGTTTGGTTTTATTTGTCTCTTTGTCTCAGGGCTACTGAACATATTTTTTATGCCATTCCTGGATTCAATCAGTGCTAACAGGATAACTCTGGGCAGATTTTGGGCAGACGCCCATAACATTTGCCAGGACACAATTTGGCATAATTGCAGGACTACTATAGGAGACGTAAGATCACATGACACACACACACACACACACACACTGTCAGCCACCTGTACACCTCCAAGCAGTGCCTGCAGTGTCACCCACCATCCAGCATGTGTGCACATGTTCAGGATTGAAAATAAGTGCTTGCTCTCCCTCCAAAGAACATTTTTTAGGAGTTGTTGCTAAATTTCAGGCGTACACTTTGACATCCACCTGTCCTTTATGTGCCTGTTTCCCCTGTCTTGAACTGTTGCACGGTTTCTCTGGAGGATCTCGTGTCTTTGAGGCCTCAAAGTTATCTCTAATCTCAGTTTCTGTCTTTCCTTCAAAGAGCGCCTGCTTTAATATCGACTTGAACGCCACCCCAGCTGTCACACTGCATCACCTCGGTGGCTGTTTTTAGCAGCAGAGCAGCGTATCCTTCCTCCTATATCTTTTCCTCACATCAGAACATCTGCATTTGGACAGCACGTTTCAGGTGATTGCTCAGTGACTGAGACTGTTGGTAGAGCATCAAACATTAATTAAGAACGAAACTTAGCACAGGATGTAACCTAGATGTGACTCTGCATTGAGCTGTCAGTGTTAAGAAGACACACAGAGAGGATTTCCTCATTAGTTTATCTCTGTGAAATTAGGTGGATTTTTACTAAGGAAATAGTTTTGTCGTATTATAGAGAAGAGAAAGAAACCTTTGCTATTGTAAAGCAACAACAGCACCAAGTGTTGCTTTGCTCAAAGACTCATCCAGAGCTTTTTTTTATTACTTTTCTGATGATGACAAGTTGTAGAACAGCTTGAACAGCCACAGTGTCTTGGCATGTCAGACATACAGTCTGTGGACTGACACTAGTGACAGAAAAATGTAATGGTTTCTTTCACCCTTGGTTTGTTTCACAGCCCAGCCGTTGCCCTGGCAAATAACCCATTTTATTATTTATCACCACATTTTTTTTTTAATTAAGTCAAGATTAATTAGCAAAATCCTATTTATGAGTTTATTTTGTTTTATGTTGTTTCATTTGAGGATATCGGGGCACAAACCAAGGCTTATTGAAAATTTAGTTTAATGACATTTTTTGTTTATTCTTTTCAGTGGAAAATGGTAAGAAAGTCGTGAACTGCCTGAACATGCCCGCATGTTTTCCAGAGTTCATAGCAATTGGGAGTGACTTGAACCAGGCAGGACTAAGATCCATGTTGATTTTGTTACGACACGCAATGAGGAGGGTGACAGGGAGAGAAAAAGATCTTTAATGTTCACCGTTAGACAACATTAAACCAGGGATTTTCAAAGTACGGTTGCTGTTTGTGGCCCTCAGGAGGATTTCTGTACAGCAAGAATGGTGCAAGTTTATATTTTTTTTCCATTTTCTTCCTCTTTTTTACACCTGATGATGTTAAACCATGTCGCAAAAAGATTGGCATCCACTTTACATTAGACACTTTAGATGCCAAATTGCTGCTTAGGAAAAAAAACGAGATAAAAAAAAACATTCCTGCAGAACTGAAATACCAGGAGAATTTAGGAAACATCTGTTGGCAGCTAGCAGAAATCTGAAAATAGGACATCGTCAAGTGGTTCCTTCAATAATCCAAAATATATGGTTAAATAAGATAAATTGTTAATGAGAAACGAATTCAATGTACTTCCATGGCCACTCCAGGCCCTGAACTTGAGTCTAATAGAAAACTGTCGGTGAGCTGAAGAGGAGGAGCGTCAAAGGACCCAGGACTCGTCCTCTGAGACCTGATGGTCTGCTGATAGATGATGTTTGCAGGAGGTCAAATGTAGACTACTTCTAAATATACACTTAAGATGAGCGCAGAAGGAAGGCACACTCTTTCTCCTGGGTCTGCTGCTCTCAGCTTGGTTATTACCCCAACAAACAAGCAGCCAGAAGGCAGGATGCAGGCTGGCATCAAGTTCACGTGATGATGAATTCAGATTATTAACATTTATTCATATCGTTGTTGTATGATAAAGTTTAAACAGGAGAGAGAATAATATTTAGTTCAATTGTATTTGTTCATTATTAAATATTGATAAATAAACGATAAATAAAGAAATGAGAATTTCTTGAAATTATATAAACAAGTTTTGCAAAAATGTGCAAAGCAAAACATTTTGTTTTCAGTTTCTATTCAGCTTTTGCTGTCACAGATTCACATCATAGTCTTCATCTTTGTTTGGCCAAATTTGGTTTAGTACAGATATTTTTGTTGTTCTAATCTTAACATTTGAACATCTCAGTCTTCCTTATCTTGGATTTTTCTGTAATCACGTATTTCTGGAACATGACTGGGAGATTTCAAGTAGCTTCACGTTTGATTCTTTTCACATTTTTGTTAGTTATCTTGTATTTTTTATATTTTTTCATACAACCTTAGAGCCTGGCATCCATTTGAAAGAATTGTTTTCCCCTCTGAAGCTGTTAAAACAATTTTTCAGTCGATTTGGCCTGAGGAAGAGAAGTGACCTAATAATGACGTACACCTGGATGTGGGGCATTGATCTCTGTAGGCCATCATCCCGTATACACAAATCCAATACACATTTAATTTTTATGTGCTGGAATTGGAAGCATACATAAAAACAATGATATGATCGAACAGCTAGTTGCCTGATGCACACACAGTGTGTTTTCACAGGCCCATAACAGATTATATATTGTGTTTTTGATGTTGAAAGAAAGGAGACTTCTTCACTGAGCTCAGTTTCTTGTCACACCAGTTACTACTTTAACCTATGTTTTGTTTCTGCACACCTACAGCAGTACAGGACGGCTTGTGTGCAGGAAATGGGGAAAAGCAGATAAACACACGACCAGTGTGCTTTTCTAGGAGACACTGATGCCCATAAGTCATTTGTCTCTGATGCTGGACTTTTGTTTCTGTTATGTTTCCAATTCGTTGCTCGGCTGTCTGATTTGAGAGGGGCTCGTTGTGTCTGAATCACAACAGGAGTTTATTTTGTTGTTTTTTTTTTTTTCATGGAGCTAGCTGTCAAGCTATAACTTTCAGATTACTTTCTGCTCCGTCAGAGTCTTGATGACCTAAATTGCTGTTCTTTTCAGCTTTGGGGACATTGCAGCTCTGCAAAAGGATGCGGAGGGACAAAAATCACACCAGTCAGTCAACGTCATGCAATAGAAAATATAAAGATTACATATAAAGACAACACAGAACTTGAAACTCTATATCAAAGAAATACATGAAAGGTACTAGTTTATACAGAAATGTTGTATTAATTTAATACATGTTTATCCAACATAGAAATAACCCAGTAAATCAAAAAGATCTCATCTCAGGCATGGATTTCGGATTAGTTTTTTAACTTTGTTTCTTTTAATTGATGGTTTTGCAACATCCAACTTAGATTAAATCGAACAGATTTGGGTGGACATTTCTTACTGTGGATTTTCTAGACAATGTCCAAGGTATGCATTCAGGCTAAAATATGTCCACATAACGTTACACATTTCTCTGAGCAAGTTGTATCTTGGCGTCAGACTTTTTGTAGCCATCAACAGCTTCAGCCATAATGCTGGTCCGATATGTTGCCTTGTGTCTTGGCAGAATTTGTCGGGTTTCCTTGCATAACGTAGCTTTTAACAGTCAGAAAACTCAGTCCTTGTCTCTTCTCATCATATGTTGACACCTGGACATATTTAGCTGTTCTAATATAAATATGATCCCAATCATGTCATATAATCGTACCATTCAAACCATTATTTTTCCCACAACGGCAAAATAAATGATCAAGAATCCAAAATGTTTGACCTTCATGATCTATCTTATGTTCCTTTTTTTTGATTGAAGTCAACTGTTGCTCCACAGTAGGGGTTAGCCTTTATTTGTTTCACTTTGTAAAACATCTTTAGGCGATTAATCAGTCAGATTCCGATCATTTGAAATCTTTTCCTGTCCTCTTGTAATCATATTAAAAAAGCATCTCATCCTGTCTGTTCTTGGCTCTAATGAACCTCTGAAGTGTGCAGACTCCAAAGCAGTGATTGACTTCCCACCCGCTCTTTGCTCTCTATAAACAGCTCACGGACACTTCCAATTAGTGTCCGGTCCGCTGCATGCTAGCTTCAGTCCCCAGGCCTATCATGTTGGAGAGAAGCCATTTGATTGGGTGTCTCAGGTTGGCAGTTCATCATGAACAGACTGACTGGGCGGTGGAAAAGGCTTAGAGCATTTTAATTTTCTCGCTCCATTCTCCAAACGCTCATCTCCTCTTTGCCACATCCCTATCTGGGTTCTGTTTCTGTAAGCTGGCAAAGCCTTTAAACAAAGTTAGATCAGTTCCACCATCCAAACATATTTCATGAATATTAAAGTGAGCAGGAAAGGAGATGTGTACATTGCGTGCAAAAGCGCAGTCACTCAGTGCTGGTGTTCAACGTGATCATAATTTATATTCAGACTTGTTATTCAGTGTGCACACCTCGTGTCGTTTAGCTGAACTGATAAGAAACTGCTCCGTATCCTCCAGTGTCGCCTCACTACGATTCTCCTCTCCCAAACAACCTTGATGGTTCAATCTGACTTTTAAGCCTGTTTTCCTATTCTTGCACTGCTGTGCTTTAATGAAGCATTCTGGTCTTGCAGGGAAGCGTCGTCAGAGTTACCCTTGGTCTGACATTGATAATGTTTCACAGTGAGGTGTGTGAGATCGTCTTGAACATATTTTCTTTGAGCTAAACGAACGTTGTCTCATCTGACATTTTTCCCCAGGAACGTGCTTGTAAGGCGGCGCTTAAGTTCGGAGAAGTCAAAGAAATAATTTGATGCACCCTCTGCCACCCCCTCAGGTCGGGTTCGTGCTGCACTACTCGTCTCTGTCGACGATGCTGTGGCTCGGGGTGACAGCCAGGAACATTTATAAGCAGGTGACCAAGAAGTCTCCACAGAGTCAAGACGGTGACCCACCTCCACCCCCTAAACAGCCCCTGTTGAGGTAAGCACTGATGTCCTCCTTAGCCTTGACTTGTATGAGGTGAAAAGGACTTAAACCGTCATGTCGATCTGTGCGTGCATTCGTTTTCATCTTTCTTCCAGTTTTTGCTGCTTGTGCTGTGTAGTTCTTTGAAGGTCAAACTCTGGGTCAGTGCACAACTTTCCTATTTCATCTTAGACTTTAGGGTCTTCAAGGTGTTTCCAGGCAATTCCTGTTCCAAGTTTCTTTTTTTTTGTACAAGCATTGGTGAACAAATCATTCAAATCAGTTGAAACACAGATAGAAGACATCCATTATTTTTGCTTGTGAGTATTTAACTCTGTTAAAAATGGTCGGACGCTGCCTATTTCCAGCAGACAACGTGGTAGAGGCAACCAACAGCTGGTCATGAACACACTCAAACCCCAGGGCAATGTGTAATCTTTATTTGATCCAAGATGGATGTGTTCCCACTGGGCTTGATGTTAGCCTTGCATACTGGGGTAGGGTTAGGAGACGGGTGTTGGTTCAGGCACTTGTAGCAGTTTGTCTGGTAACGCCTGTGAATTGTTGGTCATTTTCTGCACCACTTTACTTGGAGAGTCACCTCGTTGTGACTGCATGCCAGTGGAGGGTGAGGATGACCCGCTGTGTTCAGGGGTCGTTTTTATATGTAGGTGGCCTGATTCCTGGTCTGTGTCCATCCCAAGGCCGATGCTGCAGCCTGCAGCACCGCCTACCCAACCTGCCCTCTCCTCCAATATGATGACAAACTGTTTCTGCCTCCACTTCTTTTCAGCAATGCAACATAATCATTACAGGTTTTCCTAATGCTAATGAGACTTGTGATAAACTAATAAGTAGATAAAAAACATAATTAGTGTTTTTGCTATAGGTATATTACCAACATAGACCATAGATATGAGAATTCATCATTTCCATCTCAACAACATGGTTGTACTGACAAAGCTGCATCTGGTAAAGATATACTGAATTCTGAAAAACTAAGGTTGTCTGGTATACATTTGCTTTCATTTGAACTTTTGTACACATTTTACATCACTAAGATCATACTAACATTGTCCTTGAAATGTCAGATGAAACAATAATTTGTGGTTGGAGAAACGTTTGATGTATTTAAAGAAGTAAGCATTTAATCCTGTTTGCGTCGGTGCCATCGGCAGTGGTGATGCCGGCGAAGATTAGTGAAAACACAAACTTCACCTCAGCTAGAAAGGTTAAATCTTCCAGAAATAATTTACCATACAATACTGACTTGTTTAATATTTTAAATTAAATAAGTTTGTAAATAGTTTTTGCACTTTTCACAGATAAAATCTTCACAGAGACAAAGAAAAACTAAATTTCATGTTTTTCTAAAACTCATTCATTGGAGGCGTAATTGATCAGTTACTTTGGGATATTGTCAGAGTTTTTTTTTTTTTTTTTTTTTGTTTCCTGTTTGTCCAAAACGTCGACCTGTGATTTCTGAGCTGCTCTGGGTGAAGGGAAGGTCAGCCATGATGATCCGCTCAGTCCTACAGGTCCTGAAGACAGCTTTCGAAAAAATGCAGTTAAAGAAATGACATCATTTTAAAACTGCATTTAACTTTATTTATATTGTCTTTGCCAGATGAAAAATTAGTCTGATGATCTAAAACACACAAAACCTTGTATGAGTCGTATGACCCTTCTTATTTTTTTCATGAAATAAATTGCTGATCGTCTCAAATTCACAGGTAGTTTTATTTTCTGTGGAATAATTTATTAATTTGAGGTATTTTTAAATCCTTGGTCAGGCACACAGGAGTCCACCTTTTATCTAATTTTATCTGCAGGTGTTTTATCTGGATGTCTCGGAAAGCTCTCTCAACATGACAGGTGATGATGGCTCATAGGCGAGGATGCCAGATCTTTGATGTCAGAAGTTTAAATTAGGCTGGTTTCATCTTTTATTTTTAAAAAGATTTTAACAACTGGCATCTCTTATGCGCGCCCTGATCGTATTTCTTTTTGCAGATGGAATATGGAAACATTTGTTTATAAAATTAGATGTATTCAACAGTTTCCCTTTCCTTCTTTTGTATATGACTGTGCATGGCCACTGATTTTGGTTTTTGGGTTTCTTTATTTGCTCTCCTTGTCTTTCTCCTGTGTTTCCCATCTTTTGTTTTGTTTCGAGGGCAGCGATGGTTTTAATAGGACGAGTTATTGAACAGTTTATCTGCAGAGACACATGCAGCTTGTGAAGACTGTTGTAACTCGACATAGCTGTCAGATTTTCCTCTGCGTACCACTCTGGTCTCATTTTGGGGTTTTTTTTAGTGATCATATTTAATCAGTTACAGAAACTGTTTGTAGAGCTGACATTCGAGACAAACTGCAGCTTATGTAACACTCACAGCCTTCAGATTACAGCATAAAGATAAACTAAACCTCCCTTAAATGCCACTAAGCACTGATCAATAAAGCTTTTTGCTGGGTATTGGGCAGCTTTGTTACATTTTCTGGCTTCCTGTGAAGTTTATTAAGTTTAACTGAAGCATTTTAATTAAAAAGCCTGACGGAGCAGCTTCTTTCTCTCACTACTATAAGAACTTATTGGAGGATTCAATCCCACAATTCTCTGCCTATCCTGGCATAATCTTGGAATACTTAAAACTATTGCTATGGGTTAGTTGTTTTTTTTTTCCTGCAAAATAATGCATTGTAGTTGCAAGCTTGCAATTTGTTCTTTACAAAGGTTTGACAAACATTTAAGAGGATTAGCTGTTAGACCCATCCAGAGGTCCTTCTGCAGTGAGAAGCTGTTCTGTGAACTCTGATGCAAATCTACAACAGTTTCATTTAAACGATCAAAGGTAGATAAACAGATGCAAACTGGGGGAAAACACTGCATATGTTCTGTACTGTGCCATATCTGAATTAGTTTAGTAAATTGTATTCAGCCTTTACTGACCTTTGAACTTCAAGAGTATTCCAGTGACTCACAGCAACAAGGACCAGGGTTAAAGTCTGTGATTGGGTAGAGTTTGCATGTTTGAGTGTCTGTTCTGGGACAGACTGGAAAAATATCAAAGGTGTAACCCACCAATAGAAATAAGCGAAGATTTGGCATGTAAAGAAAATAGATTAATGGTGGATTTTCACGTCTAAAAAAAAAAAACCAAAGCAATAAAAAAATTTTGAAGTAAAGTTTCTATCAGGATTTGATCCCAACAGGTCGTTGCTTTAAAATCAAAGATCTCATTTACCAGAGAGGAAAGAAAAATTACAAACTCAGTAACAAATAATTGGCAAATATGACTCAGTTAAAGTATTGGCTAAAAACTAGAGCAGGATTCATAAAAAGATTTAGCTGATCTCACTTAACAGTTTAGTTTTCTGTTCAAAAAAATAAAATAAAAAAAAACTTCCAAATTACCAAAAAGGCAAACATTTTATTCTCAAGCTGCTCCCACATTGTTTTCTAACTTTTTAGCCTTTATGAGCAACACAGTTTCTGACAGGCGTAAGAATGAGAAAGATTATAATATCATAACAGAACAAAATAACAAAGTATGCAAAAAACAAGAATATTAAAGGAATAATAAAACAAGAAGAGAAGCAACTTAGAGGCTGTGTTTGACTTTTTTCAGGAACGTTCCACCCTCGTTCCTCGTTGCCAACAAATGACTCACAAAGTACGGATGATATTTAGAAAATGAGAGACTAATTCCTGCACTTAAATGTCAACATTGTTTTGTGAAACTGTTCCTACTCTTAAGTCACTTCTAATATTTTTAGATGTCAGTTTTCTAGGACAAATACTCTTATGCTCAGTTCATACACAATCAATGTGATGTGAAACAGTTGCACTGCAAAGGTTTTATGTTAACTCTGATCTATCGGCAGCACACATGCAGGTGTTAAATGATATATCCTTAGCTCACAAAAACATTTAAAGGACGCGTGACATCTAGAGAAATTAAAGAAGCAGAATTTAACCAAATTTCATTAATCCGACAAAATGGACCATGACTCAGCCAGACAAACAAAGAGCAGATTAGCTTCAGGTTAGCATTCAAAAAACTGTTTTAGGCTTAAACCATAAAGTCCAGGTTTCAACCACTGATAGTTGACATACTGACAACTTTAAAAATAATTGAATGCTAATAAATCCTGCGGTTTATAAAACTCAGCGAAGTACTGGCAGCCGTACATCAGGGCACCTTTACGTGAAACGTAGCATTCAGAGTGAATTCAGTTACTGGTAAAGCAGGGAAAAGTTTGAACCTCAAACCTCTGCAGCATCATTTGAAATTAAAGATAAAAGGAGAAGATGGAGATCAGGAGACCTGATGTACTTTGTGCTGGGAAAGTGGTGAACTTTTGAACTCCAGATTTGCACTAGTAAAACTTTCTCAGTTATTTTGACTTTAGGTTCAAACATATGTGCCCCGAAGTCCAGACAGTGCTGAACGTCATACAATGGCACCAACTTCAGCCCAGTTGTCTGTGTGTAGGTTTTTACCACAAACACTAGTACCTATAAAAATATACACAAAGAAATGATCAAACCCCGAATCCGCTCAGGGATCTATTCCTGAAAAGTCTCAAAATCTAGTTACCCGCTGACCTATAAGCGTTGTGTTTCTTGCTAAATAAATTCCCAGACGCCTGCGTGAACGAGGGTTTTAATGGCGAACGTTCCAGAGGCTCCCCCATCCTCCTCCGCTTGCAAAGAGAGGCCGTTTGTCTGGGGGCAGGCGGAGGGATTGTGTGCTGCAGCAGGCTAGCTGATCCTCAGTGATTGACTGTAATGCTCGCCGTCAGACCGACTCATGCAATGAGACTTAACAGCTGGAGACAAATCTATTTCTCACTCCTCTCCTAACAACCACCTCATCCCTCCTCATCCACCTCTTTTCCTGTTCTCCCTGCCTGACAGCCTTTGATCACATATTCAGCCCACAATCACAGTGACTGTTATCAGAAGTAGGCCACTCTGTGTTTAAATACTTTTGTTAATGAATCAGCTGACTGGCATGTAGTCGGCTGTGTGTGTCATTCCTCATTAAGACGAGGATTTCTTCTTCTTCTTCTTCCTGTATTAACATCCACCATCAGTTAAATGCCCCAAAGTTCTTCTATTTCTAGTTCTCAGTAATTATAAGAGTAAACAGAGAAATGTATCATGTTACTGTGTGAATATATAACAATAGATTTGCACTGGACGTAAATATCAAAAGCTACTTTAAAGCTACAGCAGAAGAAAGTGGCTCAGTTCTTTAGAATATATTGTAAAGGAAGTTGGTATCGTTCTTATTTTCTTAGAAAATTGTGTTTAGTCACTTTGTTTTTCAAACAGGGACCTTAATGTGTCATTCAGCAAACATGAATTTGAACAAAACTTCCTGGCAAATATTTTGCTCAATATCTGCATGAGCTCCACAGCTTAGATCATCAGCTGCTACAATGTGTCTTATCGTGTGCACACAACTTTATATTTCTGTTTCTACATAACTAATGAGTTAAAATGTCCTCAAAGTTAAAGAAGAGACACAAAAGTCATTAGTTTTGGTCCCCAAAATGCAAAATCAGAGATGGAGACTCAGAATCAGTGACAGAGCATGTCAGAAACCATAGGGGAAATTAAATAAATACACATAAAGTTTATTCATAATTGTGCTTAAATTTGGATTAAAAAAAAACTATGAATGCTTTTATTTTCAGGAGGTTAGACTATCACAAAGGTGTGTCTATCATGTGTAAATAAATTTAAAAAAATAATCAGCTGCAGCTCAGAAATAATGACAGAAGAGTTCAAAGCAAGACTGGAAAATTCATTTGATCACATTAGTCACCGTTCCAGTTTATAAAAGGAGATATTTAAAAAGCGTGTGGTCTGCAATCTTGATGGATCAGGATTCTCAATAATTCCTACAGAAAATAGTTTGTAGAGATATAAAACTTCTGGACTCCTCAGGACCTCAGAGTCGTCCTGCTTGGTACCTCAACCTGACAATGTTCAATTCAGACAAACAAAAATCTAACTTTTCCTGTGAAGAGCTTTTCAAACTCATTATTTATTTGCCAGTTTCAGCTTTGTAATGGGGAATACATCTAGACAGTTTTGGTTGTTCTGATGGAAACGATCCTAGTTTGGACCAGAAGGAGCTGGATGCATTTTCGTTCTGTCAGTTTTACCAAAAATACTTTGTTTTGTTGACGTGACAATATGGACATTTTGCAAAACTGTGATTTTATTTTGGTTTCATATCAAATTTAGTTTTGGGTGAGAATAACTGAGTTTTAGGATTCTGCATCAGTTTTACCCCTTCATCAATTTTTAATGCATTTTCTTTCTGTCATCCTGCATCTATGAGCAATCCGTCTGATTCCTCTGTGGGTTTTTCATGGTTTTGTTAAGGTTTTTTCATCAATTATGGAGATAAGAATCCATAAAAATAATGAAAATGTCACATATAATTTTATTTATTTGCATATTAGTTTTTAAATAATCTTTTTTTTGACTTTTCTTATTGCTGGTTCTCCATTTGGCCCAGTTGGATCTTTGGAAATGAGGACATCTGACCAAACCAAGAGACACTTTGTGATGGCAGATATGATTCATTGGAGTTTAGTGCAAAAACAGTTTCTGGTAGATAATATGTTTCATAAAGTACAAAGTAACTGAGTCATTAGTTGTCAAATTGAGGAAATGATCAAAAAATACCAAAGGGACGGATTGGATCTGAGTGGCTGGAAAAGCACAAATTAGTAGAATCTTTAGCACATGTCCGCTGCGATCCTGATGTGTCTTCCCAAAACTCTGAATGTGAGCCGAAGAAATTGAAAAGAACTTAAAAGAAAGATTAAAGGGATTATTTGATCAGATAAATATGACATTTTCAGGCATGTTCACTTAACCCAAACATAAAAAGGTTATTTGTCTTTTTAAACAGTGAATGTAGATATTTGGATTCAACTCCATAAGGCTCAAAATGTTCCAGTTTTGCATATTGGTTGATGTGTATAAAGAACCCTTCAGCATTTAGTGTAAACCTTTAAAGAGCCTGAATACATGGAGTCCTGTTTTATCCACGAGGAAATGTTCTGTGCTGGTTTGACCGTCACTTGTCCCCAGCTGTTCTATGTAAGTCCTGGATGAGGTCCAGAGAGAGGACAAGACCCCGTCACAAAGCAGAGGACGCTGCATGGGCAGAGGAACAAGGATGAGAGGGGAGTCGCTGTGTAGATGGCGACTAAAAGCCACTTCAGGGTCTATTTATATCAGATGATTGCTGCCTCTGAGCTCAGTTAAAAGCAAAATTCCTTTTTAAAGGCTTTTTTTTATTTATTTTTTATTTTTTACTGGAATTGCCAAAATAAAAGAAAGTGTGCATGTAATGCAGAGCAGTGTGTGTTTAGATGTTCATGCAAAACAGTTTCTGTATCTGGCAAGACTTTTAAAATCACACAGCAGCTTTATGGACAAAACCAAAGCAGCAAGCCGACTGCCTCGGTCGCATGTTTCTGCCACGTCTGCTTCACGCGTGCTCCAAGCTGGCGTTCCTTTAGGGGACGTTGGACAAGAAGGGTTTGAGAGCACATGGCGCTGTAACGTCCACACGTTCCCCTCATGTATGCTTATCTGCCTGACGGCTGCGTAAATGGCTTTCTGTTGGAGGAGCGTCCCCCGGGGTGCCACTCCACTCAGAAACAGTGACAGGCCGCTAATGCCGACACCCTCAACCCCTCACTGACCAGCTCAGACAAACATCTTGATTGTAATTGAATTTTTGGGCTTCAGTGATGAAGGAAAGATTGTTAGAGAAGGAGAGAGATGGCAGAAAGAAGCAGAAGGGAGGAAACTAGGGATGAAGATGGATCGGTGGAAGGGTTAGGGTAGGGTGGCGGAGGCTGTGATTAAACAGGACGCAGGAGGAAATAGCAGAGTGTTATGTTGGAAAGTGGATGACAGTGCAGAGGAAGAGGAGGAGGACAGTAGAGAGGAAGGGGTGAGTTGTGTGTCTGTAATGAAATCATAGGGTCTCACTTCCTGTGATGCTCTGTGCCGAGTTATTTAGTTTTATTCATGTCTCCTCTGTGGTCCAGGCTTTTCTTTTATTATTTCTTTAACTTGTCACAAAATAAATAGTTACTATTTTAGAGAACTAACTAGTTCAGCATCAGTTTTTTTCAGTAATTCAGTTCAGATTGTTGCTGTTGTGGTGCGTTCACACCAAGCGCGTCACACGCATCAAAAATGCATCCGACGCTTCGAGTTCGACGTATTTGCACTTTGAATGCAGACAGCTGACATGTTGCTTTGCGCCTCGCGTTTGGCGCATCAGGCGCCTCTGGTTTACATCCACAGAGGCGCGTCGAGGGCACGTCAGATGCGTCGTCGTTGTCAGTGGCCGGACGTTCTTGATGCGTCAAACGCCAGATGTGCGAAACGCGCCCTTGTCCTGCCGTCCTGCAGCCGGACGCGCCTGGCACACACAGCGCATTTGGTGTCAACGAACCGTTACATAGACTCATTACAAACAGTTCAAGTGTTTCTTCTTATTAAATTTGAAAATTATAATTGACAATTGTTAAATTCAACTTCTGAAGAATTTTAAAAAGTTGTTAAATAGATAAGCTTGCATGCTGAAAAGTATATTCATTTACTTTTATGTACCTCCACTCAGTTTGATAAATAATGACACTTTTAATGCAACTTTGCATTAAAGGTGTCATTTTCTAACAACTGTCATGTCAGACACACTGGGCTTATTGTGCTTTGACTGTATTAATGCAATACAATGACATTTTCTTTGTTTCTATTGACAACACATCCTGAAGTTGTTGAACGAGCCTCTTGGGTCCACAAACGTCTCAAAGACGGCTTCATTTGTAAGTCAAGTGCTCATCGTCTGGAGTATATTTTGACCGGATAGTTTGAATCGCTGCTCTGACTACAAATGTCCTCGTAGGGTTTCGCTTCTTTCTTCATCTTCCACAAAACCTGCTGTGTTTGTAGAAAAAGGAAACGTGTTTGAGCTTAAATCAAGGACGTTCTATATGCAACTCGTAAAACCACGACTTGCAGCTCCATCATGTTCAGACGGACAGGAAGCAGATTTGTTTATGTAGTACAGTTTGCACTTTGGTTTGCAGTGAAGAAAACAAATAGTAGGTGTGATTGCGCCCCAAGCGTGTAATCACAAACATGCTGACATGCTCCAACGGTAAACAGAAATGATCCTTTTCTTTTTTTTATTTCTTTTTTTTTTGTTTTTAGATTGGCAGGTTTGGGAAAAACAAAGTAACAGAAACGGGTTTTCATGCCACGTGTCATTCTATGTCAGTCAAACTGTGGAAATACTCTCACACTGACTTTACTCAGTCTTACTTCAAGGTTAGCCAAGAACTTCACTCACGGCGTCATTCTGAACTCTGGAAGCAGTTCCAGCTTTTTAAAATGTTTTTAAGAAGTCTTGGTGCGTATATGTGTCTGTTTTGTGGCTCTTCTTTCTTTTTGCAGTCATCGATAATCTTCTGGTACATATTTTCTCTGGATAACTGTCTGTGCCTCTTGTAGGTTTATTTTTTAAAGCCTGTTAGTTTTCTGGCATTGAGGTGAAAGTATAAAGGTGAATGTGGAAGGCTGTTCAGGAATCCTCCTTCAGTCTGCTTTATCCGTCCCAAGGCCAGTTCTGATTTGGGATTATTGCCCTGTAGAGATGAATAATATTTTAAAATTTTCTTTCATCTGCGTTGATTCCAACTAGACGATGATCAAAACCAGCTAAGAATGGATGAAACAAGTCAGATGTCTTCTTGGGATTCAAATTTTTGTGTGGATTAGAGACAACATGCTAATTGATATTTCTGAGACATCTTAGTTCACTGAAATGATATAAAAATGTAGTTTTATATTAATAGCGTGTTTTATAAATTCTGTCCTATCTGACACTGTGTGGTTTTGTGTCTTCCTCTGCCACATCACAGATTTTATTTGGTCAGTGGTGGAGTGCCTCTCATCATCTGCGGCGTCACAGCAGCTGTTAATATAGACAACTATGGGAGCGGGGAGCAGGCACCATAGTGAGTTCTTGATGTGAAGACCTTGAAAGTTATGAATTTCTAATGCAAATCCAATGACTAAGCGTGGCTGGTTTGTGTTGCAGCTGCTGGATGGCATGGGAGCCCAGCCTGGGAGCCTTCTTTGGCCCCGTGGCCTTCATTGTGCTGGTGACGTGCATCTACTTCCTATGCACCTTCCTTCAGCTCCGGCGACATCCCGAGAAGAAGTACGAGCTCAAGCAGCTGACAGAGGAGCATCAGAGGCTGGCCGCCGCCGACGTGCCGACTCACTGTCACCAGGGAGCCGAGCCCGGAGCGCTGGCGGCCCCGTCTGGTGGGAGCAGCTGCCCCGCCGGCTGCCCCGGCATCCCCATCAACCCTGCACTGCTGGCCAATGAGCACTCCTTCAAAGCCCAGCTACGAACTGCGGCCTTCACCCTGTTCCTCTTCCTAGCCACATGGACCTTTGGTGCGTTGGCTGTGTCGCAGGGACACTTCCTAGACATGATCTTCAGCTGCCTTTACGGTGCCTTCTCCGTCACCCTCGGCCTCTTCATCCTCATCCATCACTGCGCCAAGCGTGACGACGTCTGGCACTGTTGGTGCTCTTGCTGTCCTGGAAGACGTGCCAACGCCTGCTCCGGCGCGCAGGGCTCTGCTCAGGCGCGGCCCAAGGTGAACGTGAACGGAGACACCCCGGGGCACGGTGGCCACGGTCACAGCCACTGCCACCACGACTCGCCGTGTCAGGCGAAAGCGCTGCTGAGCTGCAGCCACAGCGGGGCGGCTCACTGTAAACACGCCGCTCTTCCGTCCTCGCAGAATCACGTAACGTGTCTGGCGCCGGTGACTCCGTGCTGCGCCGCCCTGCACAGCCAGCAGCTGATGGAGGAGGAGCCCACGGCCACTCACGTGCTGCTGCACTCTGAACCAGGGATCCAGCTGCACCCCTGCCTCAAAAGCAGCACCAGGACTAAAAGTCGTCAGTTTGGACGCAAAGCCGGGGCGTCTGCCTGCGCGGCGGGGAGCGACAGGGAGTACGCCTACCACATCCCCTCTAGTGCCGACGGAGGCAGCATGCACAGCTCACACACTGACAGCCCCCACAGCACACGTGAGCGGCACGCCCACATCTGTCCGCACCTGGCCCACGAAGGCCACCACGACGGGCATCACAGATGCCACGCTACTGCAGCCACCCTGCATGAGTCTCTGGCGTGCCATAACCCGTGCCACAGGCATATCTGCTGCTCCAAGGCAGACCTTTTCCCTTCTCTGTGTCCGGCAGAATCGGGGGACACGGGCGTCTTCCTGTGCGGCTGCAGCAAAGTAGCCGAGGAGGAACCCGTGGTAACACATCACCATCTGGAGATGCATGCTCCACGCAGACAATCATGCCCCCAGAACCCGCCCAGTCAGAATGGGATTTTAAAGGGAGGCATGCATGAAGGACTTCTGTACACCTCAGACAGCACAGGGAATATACGCACCGGCCCCTGGAAGAATGAAACTACTGTGTAGTGCAGGAACACGACACGTTACGGGCGGCTCTCCCGCCTCATCCTGCCAAAATGAATTTCGCCTCCCTTTCTAGATGAAAAAAAAGGGAAAAAAAAGTGAAATAACATTTTAAACATCACAATCAACGTGAGGATTTTTTTATTTCAATATCCACGTTTATATGTCTGCTGTTTTCTTGTACAGAAATCTTATATCATGCAAACGCCTTCAGAGGTACATCCATAGACCGAGGAGAATCACTTTCAACACTAACAGTTTGTGAAATGTGTCTCACGTTATACCATCAGATTTACCTGGAGGTATTCCCACTGTTCCATATTACTGCAGATCTATCTCTCTATATATATTCAAAAAAATGAATGGTTGTATGTGTGACTATGTGTGTTAGTGCTCAGAGGCAACAAGCTGCAAGACGTTTTTACCCTGAATCTGAAACTACCGATAGTCTACGTTGACGGTGAATCTCCAGTACTTTGGCATTCATGTTCTAGACGACTAAACCAGCAATTTTAGACTTCATATGGGTATTTTTGCCATCACAACTGTGAATACCTACTAGAGATTTTCTAAATAATAAACAAAGATACCTTTGCTTGGCAGAGATGTGTGGGTGCCAGTTTAGTTGTAGAAAAATCACAGCAGAAAAAGCGAAGTAAAAAACTATGCGTGCTCCTATCCAGGTTTCTATTGATCGTGATGTCTATATGATGTCTTCACCTTAGTGTTTCCCTCTGCCTGAAAAGAAATAAAATCGACGGCACATCAGGAGGAACGGCGATGTCACTGTGGATGGTGAGCTGATGTCAGTGAGTTACTGGATTCGGTCCTTTTACTCAAAGTCGGGTCATGGCAGTGTTTTATCAGTCGGATTTTTATTCGTTTCATCTCGGTTTGCACATTTTCCTCCTGCTGATATGAAAGCTGCTTGTAAAAACAGACATTAACAGCTACAAAGTGTTTGAATGTAATCATTGGAATCAAACAACAAGCTGCTAAAGGGCCCACTTTGGGAAGCCTGCACAGGAGTGATCCTTATTTTTTCTTTCATACAAAGATGTGATAAACCTCTCATCCACAATTACTCAAAGCAAAATAACAAGAGCTGTCTAAAATACAAAATAAAACTCCTTTATATATTTTTATTTTATTTCATTTTTCATAAATGTTGAACAAAAGCTCCACATTGTGCAAATGCCGTTAATTATTTTGATCCCGTGCAACTATTGCTGCTGGTCTTAAATCTTTTTTTGTCACAAATGTCTGCTTTACATCCCATAGGTAATCTGCATTTGGCCACACGTTAAACACCTGCAGCTCTGGTCAGAAAATTATACGCATTTATCACTGGCAGAAATATGCTGTTAGTAGTTTTTGATGTATTCTTCTTCTCAGGCTTCAGTCTTCATACAAAAATGAAACAACTTTAAGGATTTCAACAACAATTAGATGCACAAGACTGAATTAGATGTGGATTTTTTCTAATCTATTATGGTCAGAGTTACAAATTAAAATTCCCCTCTCACCCTCCGTGGGTGGTCTCTTTCATCCTCTGAGCTCGGGTCCTCTACCAGAGGCC